TCCAACAATCTGGGTCCTCCTTTTACTGACCTTGGAAGGATGGAAGGCTGAGTCAACCTTGAGCTGGTAGGATTTGAACTGCCAAATTCCAGTCAGCCGGCAGTCAGCAGAAGTAGCCTGCAGTACTGCACTCTAACCACTGCACCACCGAGTGGTCTAATTAACAATTGATAATGATTTTAAAAAATACCAGACTGGGAGAAGGTGAATAGATTGACATTAAAAATAAAAGACAAGGAAGAAACAGAATATTTTTCAACATAGGTTATGTTTTATCAGTGGTTCGATAAAAGAGGTAGAAGAGAGAGAGCAAACCTAGAACCAAGTAGAAATTTCTGGACAGTTGGGACAATTAATCAGTGGAATGTATAACCATGGGACTCCGTAACTTCAATAAAATTTGTTACCATTATTTCAGAATAGAGAAGGATCTTGTAATTCCACTAGTCAAAGTGTTGCTGGGAGGCATACAGGCTTTGAGGAAGACTAACCGAGAACAGACGTTTATTGCAAAGCAGACATGAAGCAATGGATGGAAACTAATAAAGAGGACCTAGCTAAAATGAAGGAGAAATGTACAACAGCAAGGACAGTTAATCAGTGTAATGGCTTCCCTTCCTAAGTTATGGGTGCTCCATTGATGGAGATTTTCAAGAAAAGATTGGACAGCCATTTATCTGGGATGGTGTACGGTCTCCTGCTTTGAGCAGGGGGTTGGACTAGAAGACTAGAAGACGTCCAAGGTCCGTTCCAATTTTGTTATTCTGCGTTTTGTATTCTATATAACCTGCCTTCCTATCCTGGTTAGCCAAGTCGTTGTCAAGGGGAAAGAGGCAATCCTTAGTGTGAGTTGGGGAAAGAAATTGTCAGATCCATGTATCTGCCATTCTTCAATGGAAGAAGAAGGGGCAGGGGGGGGGGGAATTGGTGCAAGTAATCCTTTTCGATGTAACCTGATGTAATCGTAAATCTTATATTGATTCTGTATAACTTGCACATGACATACAACTGGAGGACTGGAGCCAGGTGTCTAGAAACTTGTCACCTCTTGGAGAGATAGCAAGAGGAGAAGGAACCATAAAAATTCCAGCTCTGGAAGATACTCCCCGGAAAACTGTTCCAAGATACATTCCCAGAAAAGGGGTGGGGTGTGGAATTAACATGTTGGTTCTTTGTTTGACTAAATCCACATCAGAATAAGGGGAGGGGTTCTAGCTCCCTTTATCTATTACTGTATGCCTGGAAGCATCTTAGATTCTGCTTTGACTAGTACCGGGATCACTTCTTTTCAATAAAGAATTCCTTTTGAAGTACCTAGCTTTCAGAAGTTCGTTCTTTTTAGTTGAAGGGGAAAAAGTCCATTGCTTACAGAAATATCCTGGGTTTTTCAAAACCGGCTTATGGTTTGGGGTGTTCCTACAGGCACGCCTTCAACGACGGAGACGATTCGAGTTTTAGCGTTTTTATTGAGTAAATAACATATGATAAGATGCAAAATACAAAAGTCAGTTTGAAAAGCCGTAGCGTGGCAGAGGGAAAAGAGAAGCGAGGGACTAACGGGAAAGAGAACGGGAGAAAAAAAATATATATGGGGCTTTGTTATTATGTATGTTGAAAACAGCGAGACTATATCGTGCGCACAAAAGTGGCATATTGTATGCACTTTGGGATTCCTACCATGGACGGAGGATTGTAGAAGCCGACGGAGTGGGCCGAAATGGCAAAACTGACCACTTTGATTAAAGAAAAGAACATAAGTACTTTTGTTTCCACTTGGAAACCGCTTCTGAACTTTGTGGTTGATGTGGAGAAGAACGAAACCCTGCTTTTGGGGTTTATCGAATAGAGTGACAGATCTTTATTTTTTAAAAAATGGCCATTTTATATTATTGTGAAAAGGCAAAAAGTTGTGATCCGATACTAATGCCTTATTTTATTGCAACGGAGAGAGTCGGAAGTCAATACTTCTTTCTCTTTTTGGCTTTTTGTTTTCTTATCCTTCCTCGCTTCTCTTCCCACCCCCTTTTTCTGCCCAAGGACAGAGATGATTCGAAGGCCGACTTGGTCTCAGCATGCGGAGAAGCAACCTCTGTCATTGTGCTGGGCAAGGCGCAAAGCGATGTAATCCCTGTGAGAGGAAATGCACAGCAGCAGGGAATAAAAAAGGGCCATCGTCTTTAAAGAGCAGTGAACGAAAGGAAAACACACGGAAGAGAAGACAGAAAAGAAAGCCTCCATCACAAACTAGGAGAACCAGAACGATCCATTGGAGATCCGGGCAGGAGAGCAGCTTCCTCTTCCAGGAAGGGAGCCTGTAGCCCCTCCCAGTTCTGGTACCCCAAAGTCTCCATGGGAGGTAGGGAGAAGGACCCTGTCCCACGGGTGGAATGGAGCATTCTAGAGTTGTCATTGCAGGAATGTTCCAATCTCGGATGGCAAACCTCAGGTAAAGAAGGTTTCCAAGCAAATACAACTCAGGCAAATGAAGTCACTGATCTAAAGGAGGATTAGAGAGAGGAAGTAAACATACGTTAGACTTTAACTAGAGATAATTAATTGTGTTAATTCCTATTATGCCAAACAGCAACGAAAGTTAAGCAGTAACCCAAGTTAACCAATGTTGGGGGATAATTAAAAATGTGTATACATGCAAGGCTAGACTCCAATAAAGATCATCATGATTCAGTCGATCGTGATCAAACAGCTCGACTGCCTCGTCATTACAACAGCCCCACAGTTGACCTGGTGTCGTGACTGGAAGAGAGAGGACCACTGGACTGTCAGGTCTATGGAGCTTCTCCATCGTTCAGGCCATGGTTGCCCCAAAGATGCTTTTCCCAAAGACAACTGGGCATTCTTGTGTGTGTGTGTGTGTGTGTGTGTGTGTGTGTGTGTGTGGTGTGTCATAACTTTGAATGGTTACTAAACAAGCAGTAATAAGTTGAGGTCAGACCAGACACTTTTAAAATGATTTCAAACCTGGGAAGGATTATAATTTTTTTCTTTTTTTAAAAAAAAAACTTTTTCATTAGTTTATTGAAGTATAAGATGCAAAGAAAAAAAACCACGGAAAAGTAGGAAAAGAGGAAGGGAAAATTAAGGGTGTAATTAAGGATGAATAATTGTATATACGTATACAATGTGTATACATTGTATACACACACACAGTCAGCTTTGGAAGCCATATTCCATGCTGAAAACGTTTCACTTCTCATCCAAGGAACTTCTTCAGAACTTCTTGACCAGAAGTAAAACATTCTCAAGGAGAAGACAAAAAAATAAATCCAAGGAAGTCCAGCTGCCTTTGGGGAAAGTACTTTTGGTACCCCTGGGATGTCAGCCCCCCGCCCCCTGCCTCTCGCTAGTCAAGGTGTGTGTGTGTGTGTGTTTCAAATTTTGGCCAACTGGCTGGATAAGGGATGCCAACCCGAGAGTAGAAGAACTGGGCTGGGAAGGTGGAAAGGCTGGGGTTAGAAGGCATGCGACACACACCCCTCAACCACTCTCCCCACGCCCGAGGGTCAGCCAGCCCCTCCCACCTTGCCTCCCGCTAGCCAAGCTCGGGGTGCCCCAATTTGGGTTTCCCAGGGCAAATCCCGTGGGGCGGATAGGAAACTCCGACTGGAGAGTGGGAGGGCTGAGGTGGGAGAGTAAGGTGAGGAGGCGCGACCCCCCCCCCCCCCCCCCCCCCCAGCCCCTCTCCCCGCGGCTGTGTCTCCGGCGCAGGGATCAAGCAGGACGCCGCAGAGGCTGGTCTCCGGCCGTTCCGCAGGGCAAAGGGCGGTGTCACCGGCTGCTCACCCCGCCCTCGCCGCGCGCTCCTTTAAAGGGTCAGCGATGCAGGCGCCGCCGCCGCTTCTACTTCTTCTTCTTCTTCTTCTTCCTCCTCTTCCTCCTCCGGTCCGTTCAACCGCCGCCGGCCGCTCACCATGAAGCCGCTCTTCGCCGCGTTGCTTGCCGGCCTCCTCTGCATGCGGACAGGTAAGGCTCCCTCGAAGGTCGAAACCCACCTGGTTTGTTGGCTACCTTCCTAGGAAGCGCATCGCGATGCTGCAATTCGCGGCTCGGGGAGGCGAATCGGACGCCATCCCAGCCGGGCGGAGGTCCTAAGGTGCCAGGGGAGTTGGAAGCGACCACACCCCCCACGCCCCCCCCCCCATTCAGGTGGGATTCAAAGATCTGGACCACCTGCAATGCCAGGTTTGGTTAAACGTTGGCTCGCCCCAAAAGCCGTCCAAGGGATTGCGCCTGGTTGTCGGGAATCTGGTCTCAACCCGCAAATGGTTCTTGTGGATGGGGGAAATATTGAAAGAACAGATTAACGGAGCGGGAAGGGACCTTGGAGGTCATCTAGTCCAACCACCCCACACACTCCCGGCCGAGCAGGATTTGATTTGATTTGATTGATTTGATTTGATTTATTTGATTTGTCAATCTCTTACAAGATGATAGATATAAGGATATACATGGTTAGGAATACATGAAATGGGTGCATATAAGAAAAATAAAAGAAATAATAGGACAGGGACGGTAGGCACGTTGGTGCGCTTATGCACGCCCCCCCCCCTTTACAGACCTCTTAGGAAAGGGGTGAGGTCAATAGTAGACAGTCTAAGGTTAAAGTTTTGGGGGTTTGGGGAAGACCCTACACCGTTTCTGACAGACGGCACTCCAGTATCTTCTTGAAAGTTTCCAGGGATGAAGATCTGAAAGCAAACTTCTGTTCCATTTGCTGGATTGTTCTGTCAGAAAATTCCTCCTTATTTCCAGGTTGAATCTCTCCTTGTTCAATTTCCATCCATCATTCCTTGTCTGGCCTTCAGGTGCTTTGGAAAATAGCTTGACCCCTTTTCTCTGTGGCAGCCTTTCAACTATTGGAAGATGCTCTCCTGTCTCCCCTGGTCCTTCTCTTCACTAGACTAGCCAAGCCCAGTTCCTGCAACCGTTCTTCATATGTTTTAGCCTCCAGTCCCCTCATCATCCTGGTTGCTCTTCTCTGCACTTTTTCTAGAGTCTCAACATCTTTGTTTAAAAAAACAAAACCAGACGTCTCTTTACAAATGGCTCTTTAGCCTGGTTTAAGCCAACTATGGTTTCTTCAATGACCCTCATTGTCTTGGTGCCAAGGATAGCCTGACCCCAAAAACTAAATCCATCTACCGGATTGGAAAAATTAAAATGCAGCTGGGCAGTGGAGATCCATGGTTTAAAAACAAGCAACCATCGTTTCGCCTAACACGGGGCATAACCCTAAACCATTGGGGTTAGTTAGAGGGTTGGTGGGTTAACCCGATCTTGGATCAGTTAGGAAAACTACAGTAGGGTCACCGGGCAGGCGTGTCATGTGAATTCGCTTTGGTTTCAGGAAGGAAGGAAAAACCAGCCTTTGTGGACACAGATTCGTAGAATGGATGGGATATCAGAGGTCATCTAGTCCAGCCCTCCTCCTGCTTTGCAGACAAAAGGGTTGGCACGATGCCCCTTTGAGAAGGTGCTTTTTTCTGGCCCCTCAGTACTGCTAGCAAGGGGAAGTTTGTCCAACTTTTGTATTTTTATAGTTTTGTAGTATTTTATTTATTATAGTTTTATTTTTTTTCCCATTTTGAAAAAACATTTTGACCTGCCCAGAGTTATCTTGCAGTAAAATGGATAAATTGGATGGAGGGATGGAGGGACGGACAGACAAACGCAGGTAGTCCTCAACTTACAATGGTTCACTTAATGACCGTTTGAAGTTGGCGTTGAAAAAAGTGAGTTATGACCGTTTTTCTCACAATCTTCTTGACAAGCCAAGTTGATGGGAAAACCAGATTCACTTAACAACCATGGTAATAACCGAGCAACGGCTGTGACTCGCTTAGCAACGGTGGCAAGAAAAGGTCATAAAATGGGGCAAAATTGACTTAGCAAATCTTTCACTTAGCAAGAGAAATCTGGGGCTCTCTAGTGGTCGTAATTTGAGGACCGCCTATAGATAAAATCCAGAATTGAGCACCCTTTGCGGAAACTCTGAAAGGCTGCAAATGCCCATTAATTCAACATTTTCTGAATATAGCTGGTATGTCTTATCTTCAGACGAACAAACAGAAATCCTGGTTTTACCTTCGTCTTGATGTTATGAATGAAGCATAATTATTATAATTATTCCTGAAGACGGAAGGATTATCTTGGCTTTTCCACTGCTGTTCCTCCTTTACTTCCAAATACTCCTTTTTAAAAAAATATATATATATAATGTAACATTCAAAGAAATTACAAAAGTAAAACAAGGAAGAGAAAAGAGAAAAGAAAAGTGAGGAAAAGAAAAAGGGAAAAAGAAAGAAAAAAAGGCAATTGACTTCCGACTCCCTTCGGGGCAGTAGAATAAAGCCTTAACATCAAACCTCAACTTTTTTTTTTACTTTTTACATGATCATATTAACTAGCCATTTCTATAAGCCAAGGGTCTTCAAACTTGGCAACTTATGGACTTCCAACTCCCAGAATTCCTGAGCTAACATGACTGGAGGATGAATTCTGGGAGTTGAAGTCCACAAGTCTTCAAGCTGTCAAGTTTGAAGACCCCTGCTATAAGCTATCAAATTGCTAAAGCCCAAAATCAAACTTTCATGTGTTTTTTTCCAAGTCCAAAGTCCAGAAGTGGTTTCCAGGCTGGAACAAAAGTATTTTTTTTTCCCCCTTGAACAAAACTGTCAATTTAAGCCATCTCTTCTAATTCCATCCGTCTTGACTTCCAAGTATTCCTGTAGCTATTTACGTCCAGGTGTTTGCATGCGACGGCGAAACAGACGGGACGTGACACGGGACAGGTCAGCAGGTGGCATTCCGGGGACTCAAAACCGCCCCTCCTTTGAGACTCTCTATCATTTTGTCTTAATTGCAGCGGGCCTCCAAACAGGCTGGCAATAAGGAGCATCCCAGCCAGGGAAGGGCATGGAACACCTGCCTTGTTTTCCACCCTTCCCTTGTAAAAGGGCTTAAGGGGTGGGTTGGAGGAATAAACAGGGCATCCCGGCATCCCATGTCGTCCTGAAGTCTGCACGAATGCTTGAGTCAACTTTCGTAAGTCACAACACACTTAGTCAACTTCCGTTTGTGGGGGGGGAAAACATCTCTTTGTTGATCTACCTCACTTATTATTATTATTATTTTTGCCAATTTCTCAACGCTGCCAGCTACCTTCCCCGGCTTGGGTGCCACCATTCAGATGTGAAGATGGCCATTCCCCGAATTCTCAGAAAAGCAACTGCGTTCTTTTCGCAGATGATGTAAAATTATTCAAAACCACCGGCAATGCCGCTACCTTTCGAAAAGACCTTGTGATGACACGGCACAAAGGCAACACGGTCAGATAATCCGTAGGAGTCCCTTTATTAGCTCCAACTTTGCCCCTAATGTCCTGGTTGTCTTCTGGGCTGGAGAAAAAACCATCCCAGGAACAACCTTTGGCTGCAGAGAATCAAGTCCAAAACATGGTCTACAAAAACTGTAACTAAAAGTCTAATCAAGGCAAAATGAGGGAATTTGTTTGGCAGGGCAGGAACAAGAATTCCAGATGTGAAGGCGCGGCAATAACACAGTTGGGAAGATGCCAGGAACACAGACAAGCAAAGTCAACACAAAATAAACTCATGTTTGCTAAGTGATTCACTTAGCAACTATGGGGAGAAAGGTTGTTAAGTGGGACGTTTGTCTCTCTTAACAACTGTCTCACTTAGCAACAGACAGATAGGGAAAAATTAGGGTTTTTTTTTCCAGACTGTGGCCAAATATCTTTCTCCACTGCTAGGTTTGGTGTGTGTGCGTGTGTGTGTGTGTGTGTGTGTGTGAAAAGGAGAACCAAAAACCCTCACCTTTGCTGCCTGCCTGGGGTTTCGAGCAATGTGTAAACTCTAATATCACCACTACAGATGGGATGGGACTTAAGTAGGGATTTTGGAAAGAATCTGCCAGCAACTGCAAGCTAGTAGCAAACAGCAACAGGACGAAGTCATTGCAAACCCCGCCACACCTATAAGCAAACACACACAAACACAAACTCGCCAGGTTGTCTGTCTCATGCTGGTCCCTCCCACTCAAAATCTTCCTTCAGAACAGATTAAGAAGCAGCAACTGCTTGGGAGAAGTTTCTGGGAGTTTGAATTGCTGAATGAGAGAGGGTTTGGTTGCCTTCTCTTCCTCCCCCTCCCTGGTTGTTGTTGTTGTTGTTGTTGTTGTTGTTGTTGTTCTTCTTCTTCTTCTTCTTCTTCTTCTTCTTCTTCTTCTTCTTCTTCTCCTCCTCCTCCTCCTCCTCCTCCTCCTCCTCCTCTTTTTCTTTCTCCTTTCTCCCTTCTTCATTTGCACAGAGCCCACACACTCACTTCAGGGTGTGTTCCTATTGTTCCCCCGTGGGAGAAGATTTCCAAGTATTTCTAGCAGGACTTCCAGATTCTGTAACAGCTTTGTTCCCTAGGCCGTCTGTCTGGTAAACTTGCAAGATATATATGCACATCCGCCTAGTCTGTGTTGTTTCTCTGCGTCATATAATATATGTGGATATATGCATAAATTTGCATTTATTTATTTATCTTGTCGTGTTTATGTAGTATATATTGAAGGTGGTGACCTTCTGAGAGCTGTATGCAATGAAATTTCATTTTAATGCATGCTGATTAGCGCACTTTAAAGTGACAATAAAGTTTGGGAGTCCAGTCTCTTCCTCCTCCTCCTCCTTCTCCTTTTTTTCTTCCTCTTCTTCACCTTCCTCTCCTCTTTCCCCTTCCTCCTCTACAAACCCCACTCCCTTGTAGCACTCGTGACGTTGCCTAATTGGGCTGTGAAACATCTGCAAGAAAACTATCAAGCTCAGAGAGCATCAAGGACCACACACTCCTCCTCTTCCCTCTCCCCTCTAGCACTGATGATGTTACCTCGTTGGGTAATGAAATGTTTGCAAGAAAACCACCCAGCTCAGAAAACACTAAGGACCCCACAGTCCTTTC